AAGAAATTTTTCTTATATTTAACAACCCTAACCCAGAGCGGGTGTTGATTTGAAATATGGAAGTTAGCTGTTGTGAGATACTATTTTTATCGCAAGAAGACCATCGAAATTGTATTTAAAATTTTTCGATAAAAGTACCACAACATATGGGGTTCTCTGTAGAAAAAACAAAAACACTGCCATTCAGAAAATAATTGACCGAGGCACTGGATTCTTCTAAAAATTTCACACAAAGGCGCAAATAAATTTGTAATATATTTGTTTATAAATGGTAAATTGCTAATAGCTAAGAATTCAAGAGAGAAAGGAACGTTGATCAATGCACGTGAACGGGGGAGAATTTAAAATACCTTCCTACCAAGCGAGTGAGTCAAAGAGGGGATGGATACGTTAGAGAGAACGATACGAAATTATTGTTCCAGGAATCTCTTTATTCTTAAGCTTCACGGATGACCGCTTCGTTATTTCAAAGAACTTTTATTTTTCTGCGTCTTTATTCGACTCGGTGGACCAGAACTCTAATACGTTTCCGTACGTCGCTACAGATTTTGAACGGTCCAAATGGGTACGAACGTGAGAATCGACTTTCAGAGCAACTCATAACTTATCTTTTTAGGGATTACGTTCGACCATTAAATTTAACGACCATTTGAAATTTTCTAAGTACAGAAAAAGATTTTTAAAGTTTCTTTAAAAAAGGAAAATAAAAATACGTGCCGATTATTAAGTAGCTTTCAAAGAAACATGCCCAATAGTTGCAGCAAGTTTTATAAAAGATGCTTTAGCCACGAGTTTCTTTGGGCACGAGTGGAGCGAGGGTTTAATGAACGAGTGCCTGAAGAAGTTTAGAGACGTGTTGAATAATATACCTTCTATGACGTGTCGCATGACCATGCCAAATGCCAAAATACTTTTACATCATAATGCTCCTAAAAATGACAGATGACTTCCAACCATTGATTGAAGTGCTTGAAACACTGGAATTGGCTCGCGATAGTTTCTAGTGAAGCTAACGTTTTAAATTTTGGGCTAGGTAGTAAAAAAGTATGTTCTAGTAGCCATTCTAAAATACCCAGTCAACGATCGTATGCAAAGTGTCACTTTAAGACGTCAGCTTCGTGAACATACTGTGGCGAGTCACTTTGGACTTTTCCGGTTTGGGAGCGCGGATGTTTTCGGTAGATTTTAGCCACTGATGGTGAGGATTTCAGGTTACTTATGAATGTTTGCATTAAGAAAAAGTACGAACTGGTAGATTCTAATAGCTAACAAGAAAGCTGACACGTTGCAATATTGCAACATTTGGCATTAATTAATACCAAACCATCATCAGAAACACACAAAAATATTTTATTAGTATAAAAATATTTGAACCGAGGCAGCTTTTACTTTATGAAAATACATTTAACGCATTTAAATTAGATCAAAATATTACAATATTTCGAAACATTAAGTAATAGAGTAACAGAGTAATCTCCATAGCTTCAAACAAATTTAGTTTTTTGCTTTTTGATTCATTATGTTAAATATTAAAATTGTCGTCAAACTTCTGCATTTATGAATTTAATTGTTTTATGTTCGTTAGTGTTTTTCTTAAATGTTCTATCTGTTTGTGTTTTGTGAGATATAAATTTTGAGACATTAACAACAAAAACCAAACAGGTTCTGAAATCAGACATATACCAAAGTTTACAATAAGATCCCACCGAGTTATATCAAAAATTAACCAAAACTGTAATTACAGATTCGTCACTTTTTAATGACATTGATAAATACCAACTAATAATTATGAATCCTCAACGTCCTAAATTATATAATTTAATTAAATTACATAAACAGGATATGCCAATTAGGCCTGTAGTTTCTTCTGTAACAGCACCACCAGTTAAACTTTCCACTAGATTTGCAATATCATGTTGCCTTTAAACCTAGATATTTTATGAAAAATTCGTTCGAACTAATCAATAAGGTTAAATATATTAAAATTCCCCTAAGGCAATTCTAGTGGCGTCCAAAGATTTATTTCTTAGCATTCTACCGATTCAGGAAATAAACATAATAATAGACTCAGAGACAAGTCAATCCTATCATAAAACAAAACTTGTTGGATAGTTTAATAGTTTTTTTAGACCAAAATAATTTTGAATTTAATTGTCAATTAACTATTGGTAAAGAAGGATTAATTATGGGGAAAACACATAATCCATTACTTGCAGAAATTTTCATGGACAATGTACAAAATATCATACATAAAATAAATAATAATAAAATATCATACATAAACATCCTCTGAGTAAAATATAATTTTGGTGGTTTAGATAAGTAGATGATGTTTTCGCTTGTTTCACTGGGACGGAAAGACAACTACAGTCCTTTTTGAATCATATTAACTCCATATATAACCGTATGAAATGTACTATAGAGACGGAAGTAGATAACTCTTTAAACTTTCTGGACTTAGCTATAGCTAAATTACAGCACAAACAGATTTTTCCATTTACCATAAACTCTCACACACGAACACCGTGATACATAATAACTTAAATCACCCTCGCACAAACAAAATGGCTGCCCTTTATTCTTTTAACTACAGACTTAATATACCACTTTCCACAAAAAAGAATTAAATAGTTTTAAAACAAATTGCTTTTAACAATAGTAGCGACCCCCCTTTGATAGATAAGATTATAACTAAAAAACAGTTTAAAATAACCCTGAACTCTATCTGTCCCATATTAAACACGAACGAAAATTTATAAAACAAAAAATGCATAGGAGAACCTAGCAAGAAAATTTTGAAAATCTATCTAAATTTGGTCTTAAGATTGGGATTTTTAAGAGAAGTGAGATCCTGGCGAAACGTCTGCAGGATTCAATTTAATTGGGATACAAATATTTGTTGGAAATACGCCAAGCAAAACAAATACTTAGCAATACAATTTAGAAAAAACATACAATCCTTTAATTTCTTGTTTGGCATATGCTTTGTTAACTACAATCACCTAATTACGGGATTATGCCATGAACTACGTTTTAAATTTTAGATCTACATTCAAAGCAGAGTATTTTGCCAAAACCTGAGATCAGTTGAGAAATCAATATTCTCGTTTATTATGAAGCTTATCCCGAATCGTATCAATGTTGTGCCGAGCAAGATTTAGGTATCTCCCGGAGTTCTGAATGTCTGTCTGTTCTTGTCTGTTGATGGAAATTTTATTAAGGAGGCATAAACTAATATAAATTTTGTCTTATCAATTTGTTAAATATATGGAAACTCTACGTCAGAGGATAAAATGGTTAAAAAGTGAATTTCCAGGAATGTGTTCTTTGTATTTATGTTATGCTGTTATTTTTATTTTATTTAGTTTACATAAATTCTCTACTTCGATCAGGTGAACTTAGCGAAGAACAGCCCAGAACAAAACAAACAAAGCCGCGTGTATATTTTGCCGCAAAAACAAATTAATTAATTACTTTAATGCCAACTAGACGGTTAAGTGGTAATTAATAATCGAATGAATATAAACAAAATCAGTAATGAGGTATTGCGGGTAAACATTCGAGGCGTTTAGCCAAAATAAGTTTTGTAAACTAAATGAACGCAATTAAATTAATCAAACTTTTTCGCGTGGGAATTTTAATTTCGATGACAGATTTTCATGATCACACGTAGAAAACCTATTTTAATTAAATGGCAAATCGTAATTATGCATTGAATATTTGTTTTTGCTGGCGTAATTATTTTAAAGTTAATTATAATTGTTTAATAAAATAGTATAATTTTGTATTAACAAGAGAATTAGTAATTTTTGTTGTTGTAATCTTCATTAATGTAGGTATGTATACAGCGAAGTGCTAAAATATTTACAAATCAGGTATTAGATTTCAAGGAAAATGCTCTCACGCGTCCATTAAAAATTGGGTCGAAAAGTAGATGTCGATACTAATTAAATGGGACAATGAATCAAATCTTGGGTAAAAAAGTCATTATGAAAATATTCCATTGAATTGATGTTTCATCACAAAACTAGCTAAAATAGTAAAACCTCCTCTATGTTGGTAATTAAGGTAAGGACAAGGTAGCTTAGCGCCACACTCTTATATGCAAGTACACTTGAGGTCTAATAAGGCAGTTCGGTATATCGAAAGAGAGCTTTTACTGGATGATAGCTGGGATTATTTTGAATTTATGTGGATACTTTTACTTTAATTCATTATGCTTTCGACATAATAGCTTTTTTCGATATTTTTACTAAACAGCAAACCTCTGGCTAATAATTATTATTTTTAGGCTGCTTTAAATTTCCTGGAACTTATTTTTTTATAATAAAATGTTCAACATTAGTCTTTTATTTCTAGCCAAAATTATTTTTAAAAAATGAAATGAAAAACATCTCAGGGAATTGAAATTGTTTTAAATTGTTTGCTTGTTGGTATTCTTCCTAGCGGTATGAGGTAAGGTAAATTTATTATTGATCAACAAACAATTAATACTTGTACATTTGTATTTAGGTTGTTGACAGACCGAGCGCAATTTCTTCCAGTATTCTGGACTTGGCGCTTATTCTCTTCTTTCGTACAAAACAACACATACCATTAAGGTGCGTTAAATCTGGGGATCTCGCTGATCATAGCCCATTTTATTCTATATAATTTTGTTTGTTTACTAATACTACCTACTTCTTACAAACTCCTGATTTTTTATTCTTTTGCTCATAAAAAGTAAGAGATAGATGTAGATGCATGAAATTTGAAACAGAATTCGAAAATGGATTTAAGGAAATGGTGATCCGTTTATAAAAGGAACTTGGTATCGACATCTACTTTTTGACTCAACCTGTATATTTTCTGCACGAAAAAAAAAAGACTTACGTGTGCGAGGATTTTTCTTGAAATCCAATACCTGATTGTTAAATTAATTTTATTCATATTTTAGCATTTTAGTTTAAAGCTGTATAAAAAGTAAACGTGAAAATTGTTCCATTGTAATTCCAACTCACCTGTTACAACTACTTCCACTGTCAAAGCGTTCCTTATAGCGTCCAGTTTTTTCGTGGTGTCTCTACTCGGTGCGACGCATCTGTATTCTCCGCCTTCCTGGTAAATGACGTTATCAAGCCTAAGCTCCTGAGAAGCCCCTATAGGCTCCAGTCGACCCGTGCCTGCTTCCACTCTCGTCCAGCAACCACTGGTGCCTAAAAACATATACACCTGCATTTTTCTGCAATGAAAAAGTAAATATTTGCTAGTCATAAATTGTTATAAGGGTAATGTTGGAGTGTGGAAAATTTCACTGCTGGAAAAGTTTAACAATGTGAGAAATTTTAATAAATATTTTTGTAAATCTATATTTGAGACCTGTTTTCATTTCCAATGTGTCTGATTGTTGGAAGAACGTTGGACGGGCTGTTACCTCGATTAGTAGCATGATTCGGACTATTTCATTTCTATAAAGAGCTAGTAAAAACCAACCATGTATGCGTGGTATAATTGGTATAATAGATTAAAACTGGACTTAAAAGATATAAAGACTAACGTAAACCTATCTTGCAATTAAACCGCAGTAGTCTGCTGTCGGCATTATACCAAATCCAAGACGAGTTTTCGCTTGGGAAGGGGTTGCGTTGACTCTATATTATATTGTACAATTGTACTTTCGTCTGAAAGGCAGAAAGGTTTATTGGTTTTGTTAATTTTGGTAGAGCTTTAGATTCTGTCGTTCATAACTTACTGTGGCACAATCTACATAGCTATGGTGTCAGTTCCAACTTCAATATAATAAAGAACTTATAGGAGAATGTTTCAACCACTACCAGAGCCTTTGACCGACTTGCAGAGAAGATTGAGATTACATCCAGTGTCGTCTTTAAGTAATACAGTACTACTTTATGCCGATGAACTCGTTATACTCGGCAACTCTGAGGCTGCTAGCCAAAGACTCTTGAGACATACGAACCAATTAGTGCAAATTTCTCCAAAACCAAAATCATTTTTATTAGGCGTGATGGTCTAAACATCCCAAGTGTTGCCTATTCCTAAATAAAAATCCTGTTAATCATCATACATATTTGGGAATTGCTTCTTCTTCTTCGTTTTTTAGGGCAATAGCAAAATCTTCACACTATTGACATAATTGGATTGGGCAGGTGAGATGTCTGACTTGTGATCGCGGATTTTAATATCTGTGGCAAAATCTTAGTCAAAGCATTCTAAAATGCACTTTGCCTAACATTCTTTATAACATCATTTTATATTTTACAACACGCACAATTTTTTGTTAAGATTTTTTTTTCTGAAAATTGTAAATAAATAATTACAAAAAATAAAATAATAGAGAAGTTTCCGATATGTTTCCAACTTAGTGAGACACATATTTTAACTTAACTCTTGCGGGAAATTAAACCAGTAATTCTCGTTCGGATCAATTTGCAGTAATTGCAGAGTTCATGACATCTACGTGCGTCCGGTAAACTTTTCGAGTGTGTTTACAAAACGAAGTTAACAATTCTGGGATAACCTCGGGTCGTCTTTCTCTCCCTAATGATGTTGATAGATTAGACAAATATCAACGTAACAATTTCGTCGCTAAAATAATTTGTAGTTTATAATTGGATGAACAACGTCGAACTGCCGCCGGAAGTTAAGATTAGTGGCAAGGTGAGATTTAGTAAATGGACAGAAATCGATAACGTTCCGAGGTTGGAAAACTTATTAGCTAGAAAACGACGCCCAGTCTTCCTCGATCAGAGGCAAAATTTTTTAATAAAGATTCATCAATTACAAATTTCGCGCCTTAAAGAGTTCGCCTTTATTGCCTCTTTCACAAGTGCAGCCAATTAGCGGAAAACTATCTCGAAAAATATATTAACTTTGGAAGCGGACATAAAAAATGCAAATGCTATCGACGATTAATTTTCGATAATTGCGATGGGCCTTTGTAAGCGATAGGGAATAAGCAAAAATTTAAATTAGTGAGTCCGAACGAAATGAAATTATCGAACTTCGACAGGAAAAAGAGTAATCATATCGGAATGGAAGAAAGGCAGGGCTTCTATTCAAATTGATATCGATCCAGAAGCCTATAGAATTTTTTATTAGTTAACTCGGCCTTTTTCTCGGGTTTAATTGATCTCCAAGTTGGGGGATTACTGTGTGGTCTATTCTCCTTAAAGTAATAATATTTTTTCTTTTATACTAGGTTTATTATTTTCACACCAAATGGCCTGTAATTATGAGGCACCATAGGAAAGTTTGGTAATTATTTGGTTTATTCGGAAAATAGTGAATAATTACTATGTTTAGTAGTAAAATATTCGCTAAAATAATAACCTAATTCTAGCCCATATATATTACATATAGTAAAAAAAATGAGCAACTCGAGATTCAGAAAATTTGATAAGGCTTCTTGAAACAACCTCACAAATAAATAAAGAACCTTTATTCCGTTTTGTATCAGCAACGGTGTTGAAAAAGAAAAAAGTTTGGGTAAATTAGAAGAAAATAAAAGAAAAAAGAATGCTGCTAAAAAATCTAAAGCGTGGCACGAACACGTCAAAATGAATAGTACGGGTGGTTTCATAAAAAAGTGATACTCTTAAAGCATAAAGTTTTGGGCAGTCTATTATGGGCCATCATGTCGTTTTCATGCAGACTTCATTGTTTTAATATTTCTAATACCGTCACGGTCAAATGAAAAAAATTTGTTAGCGTTGTCACAAACACGTTAGAAAATAAAAGGAAGCCTAAAATGACCCCACGTGTGAGCAGAAAGTTAAAAGCAAGAATTGTGACCAAGCTAGAAGATGGTTGGTCCTTATCGGCGGTAGCTCAACATTTTAATGTAAGCAGAACAATCGTTTTTTCCATTAATGCAAGATGTAGACAAGAAGAAAATTTGAAAGTAGAAGGGGATCTGGCAGACAAACAGTTCAATTCCCGAAGATATTAAGGCATCGTATTTCAAGTGCCGTGGTGCACTCACTCCCCAACGGAAGCAACCGCGGCTTATTTTCGCTGTTAACTGTCAACCGCAAGAACAGCAGATTGGAATAGAGTCATATGTTCTGGTAAAAAGATCTTCCAGTCTTCCCAAAAGTGTAAAATCAAAGTGTACTGACCAGACAACCAGCGTTTCAACCCTTGATTTCAGTGTAAATGTATGGGGATGGATTTCATCCAGAGGAATGGACTGATATAGCGGTTTGAGGGAAGACTTGTTGGTCAAAGTTATGCTGAAATATTGCAAGAGGTTATGGTGACAACAAGACAACCGTCTTGTCCACACTGCAGAAATCGTTACACAATGGCTTCAAAATGCCAACATTGAAACATTGCCATGGCCAAGTAATAGTTCTGCCATCAACCCAATCGAAATCATATGATGGAATTTGGTGCCTCAAAACAGGTAGGAGCTATTGAAAAGTATTCAGGAAGTATCCGAGGAATTGTCGCTTAAAGAAAAATTCTTTAACGAACATGAGCCGAAAACTTTAAGCTCTGACTGATGCGAATGGAGATTGCACGGAGTATTACATTTCTTCGAAGTGTTTCTTTTGGTCCTGTTAATGTTAAAATTTGTTATAATTCTTGCATTTACCAAAACCTAATTATTTGTTTGTTTATTGTATAAGTTGTTGTTTATATAATAAATAAAAGTTGACTGTGTTTAGTTTAGACGTCTTTTAATGATAAAACATACGAGAACAACCAACGGTAAATAGCGAAAATTGAACAAAATACTGAATACTCTAATACCTACATAAAATAAACATAATATACAATTTTTCCAAGGAGGATGTCTCTTATGGTTTACCATAATTTCAATAAACAGAAAAGGCTGATTAACGCAAGAGTTTTAGTACTTTTTTTGTAATTATGAACTGGCTCATGCAATAGAAACAGCTAACCTGAACTATTCGACATCCAACACTTAATTTTATTGTAAATTCGATATAAAACAAAAAAAAATTGTTTTGTCAAGATGTGATATGTCAGCTGATGATGTGTATACTGCTCAAAATATAAAGTGGAATTTTCAAATAATATTAGTTTATTTATTAAACTAACTTAGTAATCAAATTGTGTCAAAAATCGCACACTAATGACTAAGTGTTTGGGTGATCGGCAAAATAAAAAATAAAAGCTCGCTTCTCGGAAAAGTGCAAGTTATCTTCTGAAGTACAAATTTAAACTTTTCGCTCGGCTGCACAAAAATAATATTTTGGTGTTCAGTTTTTAAAATCAATATTGTATATTTTCTATCACATGCAGTCTTACAATTCTTGCATTTGTATTTTTTTTTAAATATCACATTTTGTTGATGATTTTTCCAACATTTAAAGACTTAAAGAGAACTGAGTTCCATTAAATTGACATAGTCATGCTAAAATTCATCTACAGGTTCGCCCAAAATTATCTATCACTTCTAAAAAATAAATTATTAATTAGTTAAATAAATTTTTCGTCCTAAAGATAAACCGAAAAATAAATTCCATCATTTGACCACACTAAGAAGACACCAGTGTAATGAGATTTAAATTTCTTGTTTAAAAATAATAGCTGATTCTTACCTACCTTCTTGTGGACTTTAAGATGAATACAATTATTAACTACGTTTTATAAAAAAGTATCAAAGGTATCAAAAAACAAAAACGTCGAAAATACAAACAATTAATTAAACAACAAAAAAACAAACCTAGCGGTGGATAGTGCAGTAACTATTAATTATTTGCAATGAAGAGATTTTACTTTGTCTCTTAATTCAACAATATAGTAGAAACATCGAACTAGTAGCTACTCTTTAAATTTCTTTCCTAAAAGATATGTCATCTAAAGATAGTAGGTTCAATTTAAGACAAGGTTTTAGTAACTTATTGCCAAATTGCTACGATAATTATGATTATCGTAATTTTTAGGAATATACACATAATTTTTATGAATATGAAGCAAAGAACCACAAGACAATAATATAATGGTTAACAATGATTACGGTAGCTAATTCTACCAACAGTTATTATTTTTTTTTTTTACAATTTAAAAATGACCCAGGAAGACCCCACAGAACTGCCTCATAACATCAATGTAACATAGCATGATAAACTCGTCATCAATCAGTTTTCTTTTGGTCACCTTAGCAATTAGGCCAGTAGTAAGTTTTGCTTTCAGTTTACTAATATGCTTCGACCTGTCATCGATG